GCTATTATGTCTGCACTTGTTACCGTTTTGTCCAATATCAATTTTTTTTGTCCAATATCAATTTTCAAACCAAAAAAAGCTTTCGTTGTGCTTTTTTTTCATCTTTTGTGGTTAAAACTAAACCTGTGAGAAGGTTGCATTTTAGTATTTTTTGCCAATTTATTTTCAGCTGTGAACATGTTACTGTTATCCAAAATTTAATGATAAACAAAACTCATACATTATACAAGAATACTTCGTTTCTTCGCTTTTATCTACGATATTCGTATTATAAGATAGTTTTTTGTTCAGTATCATTAGCAGTATTAAAATTTCTCAAAAAAACAGAATTTTTGGAGTAATTTCAACCGTCAAAAACAGAAAATTACTGAAGCTTTTGTTGAAACAAAAGTAAAAAGACGATTTTTCAAAACTTTTGAAACTCTATTTATTTTACGGCTACTTGTGTTTAAAGAAAAAATTAAAAATAAAAGAATATTTTTGTCAGATCTTTGAACGTAAATTCCACTTTTTTCTTCAAATTATTTGTTGCTATGTAAAGATGTTAACCAAGGTTTAATTGTTTTGACGTTTTCAAAATTTAAAATTTTTTGAAGTATGAAAAAAAGGTTTTTTCAAAACGGAAAACAGTATATTAGCACCTCTTGAAAATTAAACAGTTGAATTTTGTTTGCTACAAGTACTATCCTAATGACGTCTGATATAGTGTATATAGTTATTAGCTAGGTCTTGAGGGTATAATGACTCCTGATAATGTTGGAAATGCAGTAGATGCTGAATGCAGTACAGAATTGCTAAGGGCTCAGTTGTTCCTTGGTGTCCTAAAAACAATACGCCATTTGGCAATGTGTAAAGTGCCAATGGCTATTTGTTTGGGATCTCAACTTGATGCATGCAAACTAAAGTTGCAGAATCATACAGAGGCTTCAGACATGATGTCGGCTATTGTAAGTCTTTTTTTGCTAAGTTGATAAAAACTTATGTAGTACTGCGGGGTATAGTGTTTTATTTCAATTTTCAGACAGCATGATTGATT